GGAGGAGGAAGAGGAGGAAGAAAGGAGTGTGGAAGGAGAGGGAGAAAAAGGAGGAGGAAGAGGAGGAGGAGGAAAGGGATGTGTAAGAGGGAGAAAGAAGGAAGGAAGGAAGAGGAGGAGGAGGAAAAGGGTGTGGGAGGATAGTGGGTAAAGAGGAAGAGAATGGGGAAGAAAGGACGGGGGGGGGGGGGGGAGAGGGTATAGGAGGGAGAGGAATTAGGGTAGGAAAGGACAGAATAGGGAAGTACCAGACCTGAAAGTGAGAGGAGGCTGAGGAGGAAGGGGCAAGGGGCAGGGGGCAGGGGGTAGGGGTAGGGGGCAAGGGGCAGTGGGCAAGGGGCAGAAGGCAGGGGGTAGGAGGCAAGGGGCAGAGGGCAGGGGGTAGGGGGCAAGGGGCAAGGGGCAGGGGGTAGGGGGTAGGGGGTAGTGGGTAGGGGGCAAGGGGCAAGGGGTAGGGGGCAGAGGACAGAGAAAAGGAGGAGGAAGGAGGAAGGAGGGCAAAGAACAGGGAATAAATAGTAGAGAACAGAAGCATTAAGGCAAGGTACAGGTTGGCAGGGTACAAAGAACAGGAGGAGGAAGAAGGAAGAAGGCAGGGTTCAGTGAGTAGGAGGGATGGGGAGGAGGAGCAGTGCTGTGCCAGGGAGGAGAGCGTGGCCGACCTTGGGCGAGGAGAGAGAGAGAGAGAGAGAGAGAGAGACAGATAGACAGACAGAGAGAGAGAGAGAGAGAGAGAGAGAGAGAGAGAGAGAGAGAGAGAGAGAGAGAGAGAGAGAGAGAGAGAGAGAGAGAGAGAGAGAGAGAGAGAGAGTGAGAGAGAGGGAGAAAGAGAGAAACAAAGAAAGAGAGAAACAAAGAAAGAAAATAACAAAGAGAGAGAGAGAGAGAGAGAGAGAGAGAGAGAGAGAGAGAGAGAGAGAGAGAGAGAGAGAGAGAGAGAGAGAGAGAGAGAGAGAGAGAGAGAGAGAGAAAGAGAGAAACAAAGAAAGAGAGAAACAAAGAAAGAAAATAACAGAGAGAGAGAGAGAGAGAGAGAGAGAGAGAGAGAGAGAGAGAGAGAGAGAGAGAGAGAGAGAGAGAGAGAGAGAGAGAGAGAGAGAGAGAGAACGAAAGAGAGAAACAAAGAAAGAAAATAACAAAGAGAGAGAGAGAGAGAGAGAGAGAGAGAGAGAGAGAGAGAGAGAGAGAGAGAGAGAGAGAGAGAGAACGAAAGAGAGAAACAAAGAAAGAAAATAACAAAGAGAGAGAGAGAGAGAGAGAGAGAGAGAGAGAGAGAGAGAGAGAGAGAGAGAGAGAGAGAGAGAGAGAGAGAGAGAGAGAGAGAGAGAGAGAACGAAAGAGAGAAACAAAGAAAGAAAATAACAAAGAGAGAGAGAGAGAGAGAGAGAGAGAGAGAGAGAGAGAGAGAGAGAGAGAGAGAGAGAGAGAGAGAGAGAGAGAGAGAGAGAGAGAGAGCAGGGAAGACACGGAAGAACAGCGGAGGTTCTATGATCGGCTCCTGTTGGCTGTCGCTCCCTTTCCTTCACCCCTTTTTTATTCAATTCTTTCTTTATCTCTCCGTTTCGCTCTTACGTGTCAGTCTGCTTGGCTGTATAGCTATCGGTCTGTTTGTATAAGTGCTCGTATATCTATCTTTTTTTAATGTATCAGTTTCTTTTGTTCTCTCTGTCTGTTATAATCGCTCTCTCTGTTTGTCTCTCTGTCTGTTTGTCTGTCTATCTGTCTGTCTGTCTCTGTTTCTTTCTCTCTCTCTTCCTCACCTAACCCACCACACTCCACACTCGCTTATATGGGTCATGAACCTCCCCCCCCCCCCCCTCCTCTTCCCCCCCTCCCTCCCTCCCTCCTTCCCGACCCAACCAACCTGCCTTCTCTCTTCCCCCCTCCCCTCCCCTCCTCTTCCCCCCTCCCTCGTTCGCCCGCCTAAGCACCTCCCCCCTCCTTCGCTAGACCGCCACCCCTCCCCTTCTCCCTTCCCCCTCTCCTCTCCCTCTCTCCCCACCACCCCTCCCCTCTCCACTCCCCTCCCTCTCCCCACCACCCCTCCCCCTCTCCCCTCTCCCCACCCCCTATCCCCTCTCCCCACCCCCACCCCCTCTCCCCCTCCACTCCCCTCCCTCGATACGCCCTCCAGAGAGCTTCCATTCATTCGCTATTCCACTTTCACCCGCTCCACGCCCACGATGAACCCGGGCGCTCGAACCGGCCGCCCAGACGCTCACTCGCTCGCTCATGCCAGCTGTTATCTCCGAGTCTGGGTGTGTGTGGGGGGGGAGGGAGGGATGGAGGGAAGGGATGTATGGGTAGGAGGGAAGGGGGAAGGGAAGGAGGGGGGGAAGGAGGGAAGGAGGGAAGGAGGGAAGGAGGGATGGAGGGAGGAAGGAGGGAAGAGGCGAGGGAACGAGAGGGAACGAGAGGGAAGGAGAGGGAGGAAGGAGGGAAGAGGAGAAGGGAGGAGAGGGAAAAGGAGAGGGAAGGAGAGGGGAGAAGGAGGGAAGAGGAGAGGGAAGAAGAGGGAAGAGGAGAGGGAAGGAGAGGGAAGAGGAGAGAGGAGGGAAGAAGAGAGGGAAGGAGAGTAACGAAGGAGGGAATAGTAGAGGGAAGGAGAGAGAAGAGAAGAAAGGAGGGAAGAGGAGAGGGAGTTGGAGAAAGGAGGGAATAGGAGAGGGAACGAGTGACGGGGTATGAAAGAGGGAGATTAGTATGAGAGGGAGGGGGAAAGGGGGGGGGTGTCTGTGAGAACAGGAAGCGAAGGGGTTACGTGTGTTTGTCTGGCGGTGAGCTGTGCGTATAAGGAAGGGTCGTGTGTGTGTGTGTGTGTGTGTGTGTGTGTGTGTGTGTGTGTGTGTGTGTGTGTGTGTGTGTGTGTGTGTGTGTGTGTGTGTGTGCGTGTGTGTGATCATACCCTTACGCGAGATCTAACGCATATGTTCGTGAACAATTATGAACATCGCACAACCACCGACCAGACCTTGACGCCCCATTCCCCTTCTTCCACCCTCCACCCCTACCCCCCCGCCCCCCCCAACCCTCAGAACTTGTCCCAGCATCCTTCCCTCGAATTCTCCACCCCCCCCTCCTACCCCCTACCCCCTTAACCCTACCCTAAACCCCCTAAAATAAAACCTTTCTTCCCTCAGCCTCCACTAAACCCAATTCCCCAGTCTCAAGGTCTAATCAAACGTCTCTTTAATGACCTCCGGACATAACTCGACGCAGACCAGGTCCGAAACCCAGGCCATTTCCAGCTCAAATACGAAAACGCGGCGGAGATTCGAAGCATTTCCTGAATCCTCAAAAAAACCTGTTCGAAGCTTCATGACGAAAAAGCTCGGGTTTCGTTTCGTTAGGTTTGAGCAAAGAAGGGATTGGTATAGTGATGGTGATGATGATGATGATGATGATAATGATGATGATTATGATGATACTTAAGATGATGATGATGATGACGATGACGATGATGATACTGATGATGATGATGGTGATGATGATATTGTGGTGGTGGTGATGATGAGTATGGTAATAATGATGATGATAATGATGGTGACGAATCATGGAGGTGGTGATAACGATAGTAATAATGGTAGCAATGATACAAAAAACAAGCGCCACACATAGGTTACGCAAGGCAAACTAAGATCCACTTTCGACTCCCAAAACACAATTCAACTGCCTGTTTGTGTCTTATAGATATATCTTCTCATAGATATATCTCTCAAAATCTGCTCTTCTTTTCTGCAATTTACATGCGTTCCTAAGTAATCGTTCTCCTCAGTGTTGCATCACTGCAAGTCACGTCCCGTTCTGCTGCGTCATGCTGAGGTTGCTCGCATGCCTCTCTCAGTCTGTCTGTATGTATAGGTCTGTGTCTGTTTGTCTGTGTTTCTGTCTGGTTGTCTCTTTCTCTCTACATATACACACACAGACACACACACACACACACATATATGTATATGTATGTATACATATATGTATATGTATTTATGTATATATGTATAGAAATGTATGTATATGTATGTACATATATTCATGTATGTATATATAAAATATATATAATACATATATGTATGTATATATATATAAATCAATAAATATGTGTATATATATGTATTTAAATATATATATATATATATATATATATATATATATATATATATATATATATATATATGTGTATGTGTGTGTGTGTGTGTGTGTGTGTGTGTGCGTGTGTGTGTGTGTGTGTGTATGTGTGTATGTGTGTGTATGTGTGTATGTGTGTATGTGTGTGAGTGTGTGTGTGTAAATATATATAAATATATATGAATATGTAAATATATGTATGTATATAAATATATAATATATATATATATATATATATATATATATATATATATATATATATATACATATAAATATATGTATGTATATATATATATATATATATATATATATATATATATATATATATATATATATATATATATATATATGAACATATATATAAGTATAAATATATACAAATATATATATATGTAAATATGTATATATATATATATATATATATATATATATATATATATATATATATATATATATATATATATATATATATACATATATGTGTCTGTGTGTATGTGCAATATCTATCTATCTATCTATCTATCTATCTATCTATCTATCTATCTATATATATATATACATATTACCTTTCGTATGTTGCTTCATTGCAACATGCGACCCGTTCTGCTGCATCATGCTGAGATTGCTTGCATGTCTCTCTTGCAGTCGGTCTGCGTATGTGCGTATATGTGTATATGTGTACATGCGTATATGTATGTATATATATGTATGTATGTGTATCTATCTATCTATCTATATCTATCTATCTACCTAGCTATCTATCTATATATATATAGTGTACCCCCACACACACATGCATCAGTCATGGAACCACCTTACGCAATGAGGCAGTGAGGTCTGTGTCACGAAGAGGGTCGAGGCTCCTTCGCACGACTTAC